AGTTTCCAAATGACCTCTCGATCGACGCTGTCGAAGGCCTTTTCAAAGTCGATGAAGTTGAGATAGAGAGGTGACTGCCATTCCAAGCTTTGTTCAATGATGATCCGTAGAGTGGCGATTTGATCAATACATGATTTGTTTCTCCTGAATCCAGCCTGTTCCGGACGAAGTTTTTCATCTAGGGCTTGTTTGATTCTCTCCAGGATGATGCGACTTAGTATCTTGCTTGGAATGGACAGAAGCATAATTCCACGCCAGTTTTTACATTGACTTAAGTCTCCTTTCTTTGGAAGTTTGAATAAGTAACTGTTCTTCCAATCCTCGGGTACTTTGCCCTCTTTCCACACCTTCTCCAGCAGTGGTGTCATCAAGTCCGCTGTTGTCTCTGGGTCTATTTTCAAAGCCTCTGCTGGGATTCCATCTGGTCCCGGTGTTTTCCCAGCTTTAAGCATCTTGATTGCATTCAGGACTTCTGATTTCGTCGGGGGGTCAGTGTTCACTGGTAGTTCTGCTTCCGTTGTTGGTATTGCTGGACGTGTTGTAGGTGGCGGACGATTTAGAAGTCTTTTGAAGTGTTCAACCCAGTGCTTTCTCTGTTCCACCTCTTTGGTGATTGACTTTCCATTGTCGTCCTTTATTGGCTTAATCTGTGTCGAACGTTTGCCCGAAAGGTTCCTAGTTGTTTGGTAGAGTGTGGCGAGGTCTCCTTTGCCTGCAGCTTGTTCTGCTTCGTTTGCCATGGTTTCATAATATTTTCTTTTGTCTTCCCTGGCACTTTTCTTCACTCTTTTGTTCAGTGTATTGTAGCTTGCATTCAGCTCCTGTTTTTGTTGCTCGTCAGTGCACTGGATAATCTTTTGCTTCACTGTCCTTCTCTCTTCTATTAGTTTCCAAGTGTCCGTAGTGAGCCACTGTTTGTCCTGTCTCTTTTTTCTGCCTAGAATTTCTATGCAGGTTTGGCTCCACACCGTTTTCAAGTTGTTCCAGTGCTTTTCGACGCTGACCTTTTCGCTGGTGTTGATTTGTGTCTCAGCTTTGTCCTTTATGCTTGCAATGAAGATGTCCTTTGTAGCCTGGTCCTTCAGCTTTTGAGTGTTGAACTTGGCTTGTGGTCTATCTGCAGCTCCTGATTCCCTGAAAGCTTTTAATTTGATTTGGATTGTCCCTTGTACGAGATAGTGGTCTGAGCCAACGTCTGCTCCTCTTCTTGCTTTTGTGTCCAGTAGGCTGCGCCTCCACTTCCTTGAGATTGAGATGAAGTCGATTTGGTTTTTGGTTTGCCCGTCTGGTGACACCCATGTAGCCTTGTGGATATCTTTGTGCTTGTATACACTGCCACCAATCACCAGTTCGTTGAAGGCGCAGAAGTCGGCGAAGAGTTCTCCGTTTTCATTCATTTCTCCTAGAGCTTCTCTACCCATGATGAGTTCCCTTCCCGTATTGTCTGGTCCCAGTTTGGCGTTCATGTCTCCCATTAGTATTTTCATGTCGCCAGCTGGAGTATTGTCCATTGTTGCCTGTAGTTGCCTGTAGAATTCTTCTTTCTTCTCGAGGTCTGCGTTGTTTGTGGGTGCATAACATTGTATGATTGACACTTTCCTTCCTTTGGAGTTGAACCTGGCGGTCATTATCCTGGACGAAATCGCCTCCCATTGTATCAGGGCTTTCGTTGCCGTTGGTGACATCATGATAGCCACGCCCTCGGTGTGCGTGTGGTTATCTTCTGGGTGACCGGAGTAGATCACTGACTCACCTGTTGACAATTTGGTGAGTCCACTCCCATTCCATCTGCTCTCACATATTCCCAGCACTTGTATTCCGTATCTTTTCATCTCGTTGGCGATCTGGGCAGCTTTCCCAGTCTCGTACATAGTTCGGACGTTCCATGTTCCTACACAGACTTTTTCTTTTGGTGCAAGGAGGTTCATCATACTGAAGTTTCTTTAGCAATTTTTGTTTACAGGGTGGGGTTGCTAGCCTCACGCCTGAGAAAAGAATGATTACATTAAGTAAAAGTTTAGAGAGAAGCAACTTTTTGGGTTGCTCCCCTCAAAATCAGAAAATAACGGACAAACAATGAGAACAACATCAACAAAGGAAACAGTTCACAGAAAAAAGGGCAAAAAGCGACGACAACTATACAATAAGACAACATGCAATATAGTTCAGTACAGTTAACTAAAATGATATCTTAACCATAAACTCACTGACTTGGAGCAACTTGAACATATAAATCCAACAATATATACAATTATAGATGTGTTTATGTTTAAAAATTCCACAAATCCAAACAGTGGGTTATGTGTATTATCTGTCAATAAGATTGTATTTTTTGGATTCAGTGTTCGAAAGGTTAATAATTGTGATAATTTCCGCAAACTCTTTGCATAAAATTTTAGAGTAATAAGAGTTTTTATTAATGAGCAAAATGTAGCGTAATAGTCGAAAAGCGCGCGCGTAGATAGATCGATTCAGCGAGATATGTTTATTTATTTTTTTTAGTGAATAAAAACGGTGTCCATTCCATGATTTATTGTTTGCTACAACCACTCATGTGTAAATGGTTTTTTTTGCTCCTTGCTAAGTGGTGTATTGACAAGATGGAATTAACTGAAAAACAAACTTTGAAAAAAGTACTGTATCGATTGAAAACATCACATCTACTACGCGTAGCTTAATCACGAAATGGAATTTTGTTCAGTGAAATTTAGGAAATAGTTAGTGAATATGTTTATGTGTGTGTGTGTGTGTGTGAGTTCACTGATGATGAATTTGTCATTTAGCTGTAATACAAGTCAAAATATCATACCGATTTAGTGCCAAAGTTTTATATACTACTTTGTTCGTGTATATAATGTGTGTCTATACAGTAATGAAATGGTTATTATAAAATCAGTTCTTATAAACAGAAGAATACGGTAGTCTCTAGTAATGTAGAATTGGGAGAATGCCTTATTTGCCTAGGTAGCCATATGTTGAGATGTTACAGACTTAAAGCAAATCCCAAAGTTAGAATTTTGGTGGAATTCCGTAGAATCTTGTTTCTGTGCTCCTGAAATTAGCTGACAATAATTTCTGTGTTTTTGAACTAGAAAAACAAAAGTGTATATTTAACTAAATAAGACAGATTTCTAATCATTTCAGATTTCGCCTTGAAGCTTTTCATCAGGTCAATAGTTCTTCACTTAATTGTTTGATATTAATCTCTTTGCTGACTGTAATAAAGGTGGTATTTTGAAGATCACTGTATTGATTGTAAAATAGATTTGTATTATATTAGTCAACAAATTACTCAATGTTTTTTTGTTACATTTCTTAAATTAGCCAACAGAAAGCTATTAGGCGTAAGTTTGATGCCTGTTACCAGTTACCACTTGCTTATTTATATCTGCTCCATTGATAAAAATTGTATTTGTTTGGAGATTCTAATTTGAACTAACCAATCTCCTTTATGGATGCAAAAATGCATTACTTGATGAATGGGAGAGAAAAATCCCGTAAGTTTAGTGCTTGCTGTTGATGAACTCCTAACATTTCATAACACACGGTAGTGTATCATAGAGGCAATCCGTTCAGCTCGATGATTTTATTGCAAATATATCTGAAAAATACCGTTTTAGACTAAGGTTTTAATACCTGTATCGATCATCATGCCGTGACTGATTTCTGTAGGTCATGCATATTTAAGTTGTCTGGATGTTCATCTACAGATAGTGTTTTTATAGCCTTATTTAAAATCAGCGGATATGCGTATAAATCATTACTTGATAACGTCCGTCATTTAGTTCTATCCGTCCCCCTTTGTGACTGTGAGATATGGCCATTGAAAGTGGAAGACATTAAAAGTTTAGCTGTCTTTGGTCGTAGGAGTTTTCGTTCTATCCCCCATGTTAGGTGCTATAATAGGGTGAGTAGCATTGAGGTTAGATGTCGACTGTTAGGTAAACAGGGAAAGCTACATCGACATGTGTTACGCATGCTTTGCCATTGTCTTCCTCGGTGGTTAGCGTTATCTGACATAAGATCAGGTCAAATCAAAACATAATCAGTTTAAGCTACGTAGGGAGGTTTAGGCCGCCTGGTTAGGTCCTTCAGGACGCTAATGATGAATGGTTGGAGATAATCGGTGATATGGCTCAAAATCGTTGCCAGTGGCACAGGTGGATTCATTCTCTGTGATTCTCCATTTTCATCAAAACCCTACCGTCATGTCACTGTTTCTTCTGTCTCACATTTCTGCTCATGTATCGTTGTTTTGAATTTCTTTTGTGTGCTACATGGAGTGTGGCAGCTAGAATTGGTGCATCTCTCTCTGCACAGTTTTATGTTAAAACCAGTCAGTCAGCAGTCAACCATCATTTATTTTGCAGGTAATGTAGGCTTTACTCTGGTATGTATGCATTTTGATCCATTTATCCTCGAACTTCGTAGTAAGCATGAGTGATATTCGTTTACCTTCTCATGATAAGACCGTTACGTTTATTTTTCCCTTCACGTTCCCAGTGGAACATAGGGCTTCAAGCTATTGGCTTGAAGTTTCTGTATCAGTGTTTATTTTTACAGGATGGGGTTGCTAGCCACATGCCCAACCTTTCCTCTTTACCAGCATTATTTTTGGCTTAGCGAGGTAAAGGAGTGCGTCTGTGACCGGGGATCGAACCCCGAACCATAGTTACATTTATACTATGCGTTTATTCTTCCTATTGTGTGTGGTATCTGTCTAACTAATCTTCTAAAAAGCTTGTATCAGCGTTTAGACTGAAATAATTCCGTATCGTAAATGTAGGAAGTCATAAATTCATTGAATTATTTGCTCTCTCAATGCTTTCATGACACCAAAGCCAACAGCATTGCTATATGTTTTTCAGTCTTTTAAATTTCTCGTGTAATGTAATGATTTGTATTGATGTGTGTGAATTTCCATGTAATTATTCCCTTTGCCATATTTAACTCGCTTTATCTTATGTTTTATTTTCTGATTTTCATAATTCTGTTAATAGGCATCGCGTCTGAGCTAAATCTACAAGTTTGGTTACCGAAATATCAAAGTCGACTAGTCAAACTAGCTGCTCAAGGTGGTTGTGATGTTTGTAAAAAACTGCTTCAATGTGTAACTAATAATCCTCAGAAAGCTCAACTTCATGTCCTTCCTATGCAACAGTTAAATTTGAAAAGTCTCATTAAGCATAGAAATGAAATGGGTAGTCCTTTACCAGCTGATCCTTTCCAAAAGTCATCTTGTAAATCAAATTCGCGTCCTGTTTTAGGCTGGCGCCCAACCGGTTGGTCTCACCGAAAGTTGAATAGAAGTCAGACTTCATTAATACCCTTACCCGAGGGAGTTGTGCTGGAAGGCAGGCAAGAAAATATTCATATATACGGTAATTTACCCAGTATACTATTTGATCCACTTAACGTCTAACATATATTGATTAACGGAGAAATTTTTTTTAGTAGAGTCAGTATTTTTATAAAACAATCTGCTCGAATCCATACCTGCTTGATGTACACTTAAATGTTTACTGTATATCGGAGAGGGGTGTTGAATACGTCATTCTGGTCATTTGTGATGTGGATGTTTGATGAAAGTGAATATCATCAAAAAACTTCTGGCAGACTAATCAAGTTTTGCAATTAATAGTGTTCTCTGAGTTGGTTGGTTTACTTGTGGAGCTTTCATCGTCTTTCTGGACGACATCTTCAGCGCAGTGTTTAGGATAAAGTGAAATGATTTATATTTCTTCATGAGTGATGTATTCGCGTCTCCCGGTAACCATCTTTAGATATATATTGACCGTTTTCTATTGACTTGGATTTTAAACATTCTGGTCATCTGATTTACTTTTTATTAGTTGGTATATTTCATCTATATTAACGTGTTTATTAATTGCATTTTCGTTTGAGTACCAGGCTTCTAGGAATTCCCTGGCACATTTGGTGTTTCCTCTGTCTAAGATTTTGACATTATCCCAATCAAATTGATGTCCATAATTGTCTGTATGCATTGATACTAAAGAATTTACATCATGTCTTTTCACGGCTGATTTGTGTTCTTGGATTCTTATTCGAAGGGGACGCCCACTTTGGCCGATGTAATGTTTGTTACAGTTCATACAATTTATTTTGTAAATGGTGTTAATTTTTTCTCCTTTTTCTGTTGGATCTTTTGGTTTGCATAAGATCGAATTAGGTGATTCGGCTGGTTTGTGTGCTACATCTATATCAAACGGTTTCATTATTCTAGCCGTTATTTTAGAGATATTTCTGATGTATGGTAGGATGAATTCCTAGAAGCCTGGTACTCTAACGAAAATGCAATTAATAAACACGTTAATATAGATGAAATATACCAACTAATAAAAAGTAAATCAGGGGACCAGAAAGTTTAAAATCCCAATCAATAGAAAACGATCAATACATATCTAAAGATGGTTACCGGGAGACGCGAATACATCACTCATGAAGAAATATAAATCATTTCACTTTATCCTAAACACTGCGCTGAAGATATCGTCCAGAAAGACGATGAAAGCTCCGCAACTAAACCAACCAGCTCAGAGAACACCATCAATTGCAAATCATCCACCTGAGTTACAAATCTTTTCTATTATTTCAAGACTAATCAAGTTACTTGTAGATTATAATAAAGGTGTTTTGTATTTCCCACTGAATGAAAAACAAAATGACATTTCTTTTACTGATGTTTCGCTATTTAATGCTAATAGCTTTATCAAAGTATTATTAAACCGGAATTTACAAAATTTCAGCTTTATTTTTCATTCATTGGGCAATACAAAACACCTTTATTATAATGAATATGATATACCCGATGCCCAAATTTTTTCAAACCGTTAAAAGTGAACTGGGTTTGGGCATATATTACTTGTAGATTGTTGTTATTTATACATGAAGTGACCAGCTGAAGAATATATAAAGGTCATAAGAAAGTGAGAACAAAATTCACCTGTAAGTGTAAGTCTGTCTACTGAGGTGTTTTTCCATGCAATTATGTCGAGTTGTAATCCCACTGCTTGGAAATAGTAGAATACTACTTTGAATCCGTACATTCCTTCTAAACCAAGAGTGCTGAAACATCGTTAAATTTGAATTAGTGGCTTCATAAAATGTTTTACTTGAGAAAATGCACCAGTGATGTCAGGAGGATCAGTATATATATATATATATATATATATATATATATATATATATATATAGGTATGTCAAGTATGGTATAATTTGTACTTGTAGTGCATGTTTTTACGCAGTAGAAGTACTTTTTCAATTTTTTTCAGCATAACGACATCACTTACATGTGTCCTGATGGGGTCATTAAAAATCCTTTTCTAACTTCATAAATGAATAATAGATGGTATTTTAAGTCATTTTTTTACTGGTGTCTTGTATTTGGCACAACTAAACAACACTGTGAAACTCTATGCCAATCGGGGCACTAGTAATACACAGTTTGTCATTACTTACTGTCTGGAAAACAGAAGACTAGTTTATCTTACAAAAACAAGTGTTTGTCAAGTTTTCGTTTCGAAGGTTTCAGTTGGCTCCAAGTCAGATTATGGCTTGATATCATCTAGTGAACCATTAAAAACGAGGAAGTACTAGACTGCTGTTTCGTCCTAGTTTGCAGCTGTTCATGAGTATGCCCTCACGATCCCACCGAGGGTCGAACTCAGGACCTTAGGGTTACAAGGAGATGTCGTAATCCACTTAGCCACTAGGACGGAGCCCGTCAATTCCAACTTGTGTCAATTCATGATATATAGCCCCACCGCCAGCCAATGTCATCTACGAGTATTTGTCCTCACACCTGGACTAATGGATTCCACTGGTCACGACTTCTCATCAGAAATCCAAGCAAATTAACCCTGTAGCCGGTCTCTAGTAAGCATTAGATTAATTTTTAGTGTTTGTTTTTGCCTTAAGCATTCAACTTTAAAGTTGTAGATGGTGGTTTGAACTTACCTTGCCTTATAGAATTTTGGGAAGGGAGATGTCATTACTAGGTATCGTACAGCAATCTGGAAAATCCAGTTTAGTTATTATTGAACGTTAATACTTATCAGAGCACTTTTATAAAACTGTTTTTGTCAGGCTTGACAGAAAGATTTCTCACATGATATTACTCGTTTAAGGACAACTATCTTGCATGAACGGAAGTGCTCGTAGGCAAAGTCTTAAATATACTCAATCGGAGACTTACATCGTGGCATTTCACAGAATTTTTATTTTCAAACGGAAGTCGATATGACTTCAAAGATATGATTAGCATGTGCTGCAACACTGATAATGAATCTATTGGATATGGATCAAATTGCTTCTTTTTGCCAGCATTAGTCATAGAGAAATGTAATTCAGCATATCTAAGATCATTCGTATGAATATACTGCAATCACATATTGCATGATGGAAATCACGTTTTGATTCGCCAACATTGGTAGTATCATTTAAGGGGATTCACACAACTACTTAAATATATGAATTTTTTCACTTCTTCTAATGGTTCACTTTTAAGAGTCGAGTTTGACGCCAGCTACTGCCAACCTCACGTAAGTGCTTGGCACTTTGTGTTCAAAGAGTGTAGGCATTTTACAGGTTTCCCCGAAGAGATCATTCGTGTCCCAGGATAAAAGCGGCACTAATCCTGTGAGTGCTGACCATTCTACCTAGTTGCTCAGGTTGAAGTAGGTAACCCCCTAGACTCTGAACAAAAGATGAGTGCGGCAAAACATGGGAGACATGAAAAGGAAGACAAAGAAACACATTATGAAGAGTACAGAAGTAGCACAACACAGAAGATCTGTGGAAATGATGACTTGTAGATAAGGTGTACATAATTTCGCTGTATAAAGATATCAAATTCCAAATAAACATTCCTTTATCAAGTTTTTTTGCCTTCTACCGTTACCCTGTCAATATCTTCATTTTGTTGTCATACTTTATTCAATCTACTTTTTAATGACTATGCTGTAGTATAATATTTCTATTTTAAACTGATGGATAAATGAATGAATTATTGGATAGTGATGGTTCTTAAATCGATCATGCCTTCACCTTCTTTTCACTGTCACATGACATGTGGTTATATTGCGGCGAATTCTTCAAGCAATTCATAATTACTTACTGTACATCTCTTTTATAATAGTGATTTTTAAAATATTGATAGGTTAAGTGGTAAAAATAACAGAACTAATTTTATTACTACTTAGATGTGTATTGTGTAAACATATACAATTCCAGGAAAGTATCATAGATTAAATGACAATATTTACTTCGCGTGTAGTCCGAATTCTAGACCTCAAGTTGTATGCCAGTGATTTTAATTCTTCCTGATAGTCAATTTTGATTGTATGTGTTTATAATTGCTGTGTGATATTGTTACTTTACATCATGAACCACTACTGAAGTGAGGACTGTTACTCACATCCTTGGAGTGAAATAATAATTGATATTTGTGATAAATTGACTCGTATACGCAGGGTCGTGTGGCTTTTTCAGTGGTAAAAACTTACACTCTAAAGAACATCTGATTAGGGTTCGCTTTGGTATACGATCCAGAATTGTGTATAAATCCACCGCCAATGATTTACGTGTAGTGTTTATTCGATCTCATGTCCTAAGTTCGCATCATACTTTTGTACATAATATGATTACTCTTAATGTAAGGAATTTGGGTCTAAATGTTTTAATTTATGATAAAAACTGAAACCTTTTGTCTTTTTGCGTCATATAACAGTTGTATGGTGACGTCTTGAACCTTAACATATTCTTTATTTCACAGCTTGTAAGTCAGAAATCTTCTCAATTCTTAAAGTAACTTCAAGAATCCTAATAAACATTTGACACGGGAAATTAATTCCCAGTTATCAAATTACGCAATTAAATTCACTCAGCCTCCTTTTGCTACTTTTCATGTCTAACTTGTGGTAAATGAAGCACTTATATAATTTTTGTGTATTGTCGGAGAAAAATTGATTTATTTACAAGTCCATAAATTAAAATTCTGTAGTGTAGTCTTCCAGTTTCCATTAATCTACTAGCCTGACTGTCAATTGGATAACCAAAAGTCTTTACCACAAGATTAGGGTTATATACAGTTCGATATTTTGCTAACATATATATGGATATTTGATAAGACAATTAGGACATATCCAATTATATACTGTCACCTGGTGTTAGGTAAGTCTTATCAATATTTCTAAGAGAGTTGACTAATTGTGCATATATCTAGCAATGTTCCAGACCGATAAGAGTCGAACATTCTGTCATAGACGGCTAATAAATAAAATAAAATACTATTAAATTGAAGCGCACTGATTTAAACTTTCATACTTTTTAACAGTATGAGGGAGAAGTAAAGATGATTTCA